TGCGGCTGGCTGGAGCAAGCTGGATCCCCCGTCCTGCTTTGGTCCAATGTAAAGTGTTAAAAATAACAGCCATAGGGTGAGAGCCTTGTTTTGACTTACATACAAGCGGTAGCAGAATATGTCACAGTGTGGGGTCTCATTTGCTTGTCCTGTGCATGGCAAAATAGCTCGGAAGGAAAATAAATTCAGATAAATGTACTGTGTCTAAAAAAGACTTAGCCGCCAGCACCTTCTGTTGCTGCTGGAGTCAAGAGCCAGAGTCCCAGCAGTACGGGGCTCTGAGTTCGCTCACTGCAAACTGCAGCATATGATCCGGAGCACTGATTGCTTTTCCAGGACTCGCCTGGAGAGAGGAGGTTTAGCAGTTTGTGTTTGTGCACGGCAAAGGGACTATAAAGGCACTTCATGCTGGGAGAAGGTGGTGCCATGGGTGGGCGAGGGGGCAGCACCCGCCTCTGTTTCTAGAGTAGCGAAAAGTCAGGTGACTCCAAATACCTGAATGCAAATATCCCCCACTTTTGGGAGGATACGTATCTTAAAATGGTAACCAGATTTTAAGTTCCTGTATTGCAAATAACTGTCACTTGGAAAAACGGTGAAGAACAGACCCAACAAGGGTGCACTTGCTGAGAAATGAGCAGCTTAAAGTTATGGAAGTGTGGAGCTGATCTGTATGGGGAAACATGGGTCATATCCTCAGCTTATACCTTAGCACAGGCTCATTTTGCTTAGTGTCCTGTCAGGTATGATTTGGCCAATTATATTTTTTAGAAAAATGAATTTTTGTCAAAATCTGTTTCTCCTTATCCAATAAAGGGTGATGGGATACAAATATTAGGGTATTACTGTAGGTGCTGTATGTATTATAGAAGGCAATACATAATGCTTTCCATTTCCAGTATTAAAAAATTGATCTGTAGTCAGGATATTAAAGGGAATGTTTCCAGTACGATATTTTTAATGTCTGTGTTAGCACATTGTAGAATGCATCTACTAAAGGGATAGTTTGGAACAGATGCAAATAGACTCACACAACAGACATTTATAAATAATATATGCAAAAACCATTTGAAGGAACATTCCTAATATTCCCTATTTCAGAAAAATAAGCTATTGAAACTGTTAAAATATTTGCTAGCATTTTACACTCTGACTGGGAATCTTTCTGAAGATTGAATGTTTTGGAGGTTGAATATCCTCTTATCCTAGCAGGAATCCTTCAAAAACATCTAAGCCTTATTAATAAGGTAGTGTGGAGAAGCGTCATACAGCAAGCGATGTATGTCACGATTTACGTAAGCGCTCCTGAAGGTTAAGGATTGTGTAGTCCAAAACGCTTAGCAATAATAATGGCCCATAGCCTCTCAGGAAGTATAGTAGAGTTTGTTAATCATAAAATAGTTTGTAAATCCAAATTCAACACGCTTTGAAGGAAAAGAAAGACAACATAAAAACAGTTTTTTAAGTGAATGTAGTTTTTTAGGCAGCAAAGTTCAGGGCATCCATATAATGCGAGGTTTCCATAGGCAGGTGCTTAGGGATGCGTACACAGAAATGTGTGCTGTTGTATCCTGATTCATGCTCGTGCTTGTTGGCATCCTGCAAAGAAAAGAGAGACACTGCTTACCCTAGACATTGGGATTGCACCAAAAAGGCTTTTGTGTGAGTAAAGATAGCCTGCCGTAATCAAAGGGGAAACACAGGGAAGAGTTAAGTCAAAAAAAAAAAAAAAAGGGAGGGGGGGAAGAGAGAGAGAGATCCATGTTGTCACTTTGCTGACTCCATTCTTCTGTTATTAACACTTATTTCCCATTGGTTCCAGCAGGAGCTGAGAAATCTTACGGATTTCAACAGGAGTAATGTTAATACCTTGTGGAGTATTTATGATTGCTCCAGCTCATGTATCAGACACAAACAATAAACAGGAATTTTCAAATAGAAGAGGTTTTATGTTACAGTTTTTAGTGGAAAGTAAAAACACAGAGAAAGCAGACAATGCTGTTTAGTGAAGCAGACCCCAGAATGTGTAGTTCCCAGCATAAAACCTAAACACAGAACAACAGAGACAATAAAATGAGGATTGGAGTAATCTGCATTATGTTATATGCCAGCCTGGATGAAGTATTTGTATGTCCCCCATCTTCAGTGTAAATGAACTCACTGCCTCCTTAAAAAGCAAGTGAATTCCCTTCAAGAAATCCAGGAGGGTCTTCTCAGGAGGTCTGCTAGAAAGCAGGAAATTGCATCCATTTTCTTCACATCTAACACAAGCACTAAGCCGTTCTTCCATTACCTTTACCTCTCTGCTGCAAGAAATTTGTATCCATCTGGCTGGAATCAACCCTGTTGCAGCAGATGAAGACACTCTGGCTGGATATCCTTCCCTGAATGCAACTGGATTTCTTTGTTGGTTTGGGGTTGATTTTTTTTTGGTGGGGTTTATTAATACTTCCTGAGTTTGGGAAAACCTGAGTTTTCCTTGTTTATTTTTAGATTTCTGTTATGTCGTTGTTGGAAACTGGTAGTTTAATTCGATTTCTCCCTACATAATACAGTATCACATCAGGAAGTTTAACTGACCAACTCAATGCAGTGATTAGTGTATTAAATATTGATTTGAGACTTAGTAATGGTACCATTAGTGACTGTGCAGGAGGTTTGTTTTGTCTTGTACCAAACTGTATTGCATGTTATGAGAAAGTGTGATCTTGCTGTCCTGAATCACCTCTGAACTTCACATCGCTTCTTGAAGGATAACAAAATCTTTTAGAACTAAGCTGTTTCATTTTATTTCATTTTACTTCATTTTATGTATTTGATGCTATCTATCAGAAGTTTTTGAATTGGTTTCAGTTATTTCTCTTCACTCACAGCAGTTTAACTGAGAGCAGAATCCAAACCATGACATTGACTCTGCCTAAGTTATTTCCATTACGTTCTTAGGGTTTTTGTCTGCCTTTGAGTGTTATTCCTCTCAGCCAAGGGTAAAAGATGCTGTTAACTCTAATTATTATTAGATTATTTGTATTTATTCCCGAGGCCCAAAATGACTTCCCCTTTTTCATGTTCTTGCGCTGTCGCAGCTGGACAGCTGGCTGGTAACTCATCGGTGGAGATGTATCGGCAAGTGCTTCTGTCAGGCTGCCGCTGCGTGGAGCTGGACTGCTGGAAAGGACGGACAGCTGAAGAAGAGCCGGTCATCACACACGGATTCACTATGACAACTGAAATATCCTTCAAGGTACAGTGGTGCAGCACACTGGTGTAGTTGGCTTTAGCTGGGGCGGTTTCTTCCATGTAAGATGTATCAGAAATACATTGCTAGAACGTTACTCCATAGGTGGAAGGGAATAGAAACGTGAGGGCAAAAAGATGTTTTAAGAGATTTCAGAGCACGTGCAGGATCATTGGAAGAGTAGAGTTGCAGTGTTTGGACCTTGTGCAGGAAGAGGTTCTTGGTCATCGTGGCAGTTGGAGGAAAAGGGGTTATATGATCTGATAGTTTGTGCCATCTGGGGACTGGGATCAGTGCCCAGGTCCGTACTCCTGTGCATGTTCCTGCAGCAAATCTCACAGGGAGAGAAACAAGGTTGAGAAACAAGCCAGGACTGAAAGACTAGGTATTGCCACCACAGCTGGTTTTACATAGTGTAAAATGGGTCTGTGGATGCGTCTGGAGCCAGGAGGATGGGGAGGAAGGACTGGTTTGTGTTACAGCTCCATAGCATGCGGCAGGGAGGAGAGCTGAGATGAAGGCTGCAAGGATTTGAACGGCAATAAGCAATGCGCCAGTGTACTTTTTTTCTCTTCTCTGCCTGGTAGGTGGGAGTGGGAGATAAAAGTGCTGAACTGAGGCAGGAAACAGCAGCTATTGTGGAAATCTCTACAATTTGCAAGCCTTTAAATTCCTATGAGTAGAGAATAGGCTACTCATGCCCAAATGGGCAGGTCCCACCCACAGGGTCCAGACACTTGGCATGATATTCACAATTTAAAAAATGAATAATGGTGTGTGCAGTGTTACCCTTATCCCTGATACTTGGGATCAGATCTGAAGCAATGGAGGATGAAAAGGAAAAATTAGTGTCTTTGGAGATTGTGAGAGGGTTATTTCTGCCATTCAAACCCTAAACATATCATCTGTATTACTGAATTTCATCTTCCATTTCCTTTTTCTATAATAAAAGGTAGTTACTTTACCCTTAGCAATAACCTTAAATTGTTATCTTCTTGTTACTCTTAAAAGATGTTTTTGATACAAGGTGTTAGAGGAGCAGGATGAAGGTATTTTCCTATAGTATTAGAATTGTTAGTCAGCACAGTTTAGAGTGATGCATCAGGGTATCATTTCTGCAGCGTGAAGAAATAATTCTTGTTCATGTGAGACACTAACTCACCATGGAAATACATTTCTAGACTTACCTGTGTGTAAGAAGATGTGGAAAAATGTTCATTACTGAACTTGATTACGTCACAGGTCTTAGGTGTGGCTTCTGTACTGGCTACAGCTTTGAAGCATGTCTCCCACACTTGGAAGCATGGAGTTGTGGGTTGTTGGGTGGGGTTTTTTTTTGTGTCCTAGTACCTGCCTTTAGGAACAAAAGCAAACAATACTGCCACACAAACAAAACACCAATTTTCACTTGCACCAGAACAGTCCTTTCTTTTTTCAATTTGTTTTCTCTAACTCTCCACTGATTGAGTTAATCACAGGAAAGCATAAAATAACCTTCTTGCACGTTTGTTATTAACTTTCTAGTTACGTTTATATGATGCCAATTATGTTTATAGCATAGAGTTTGATTGCTGGAAGTGCTTTAATTAAGGAAGGTAACTCTCAACTCCTTTGGTCATGAGCAGGAATTTAAAACAAAGTTAATCTGATTTGTAAAAGGATCATTAGAAGGAATGAGGATTATGCCTGGTTATTTAGTTGTTCAACCCTAGGCATTGTGTTTGCAGGAGAGATATTGGAAGGTATTTTAAACCTAGTCAGGAATATTTCATCTGTCACTCTTCAGGGCAAGTATTTTTTTCCACACAGAATAATGTAAATACGTATCGACTGCTGCTTTCTTTTCAACACTAAAAGTGTGCTGCTTGGCTGAGGAGCAGCAAAATGATAGTGAAATAATGTGTCAGAAGTGTGTGAATCAATTCAGAGTGATCACTGGATCTTGAATGCTGAATCATTTATCATCTCGCGCTTTTGCTGTGACCACGGCACACAATGCTTCGGTTCAGTCTGTCAGTTTTCGCTGCCTCAGATAGGCTTTCTAAAGTGCAGAGACAGAAGCAATATATACTCCCCATCCTTATGTTGCTGGGGTTTTTGTGGGCTTGTTGGTTGGTTGGTTGGTTTTTACCTTGCTTCATGACATACAGATATCGGTAAGGTTTTTCTCAGTTGCAGATTGTGAGCTGCTGTCAGGGTGAGATCTTATAGGGAACCAACAATATTTTTCATGCCATAACCAGGAATCTGTGCCAGTCTACTTTACGTATACCTTGGGGACTTGTTGCAGGTGAGTCATTCTGCAGCTGGAGTACAGTATGGAACATTACCATGTTGTTCCTCTCTGACCTTAAAGAATTTGCATTTAAACTGGAATGCAGTGCAAGACTGAATCACCAGCATACCTATTTCTCCACTGAACCAATGCCTGAGCTTCTCATCCTCAGATTTCATCTGTGTAATCCTGATTTTACTCTTCAGGTTATTTTCCCCACACGTGCTGGATTTCATCCCTTTTTGCAGTTGAGAAGGCAGTTGAAAATAAGTGTATGGATTTACTCCACAGCTTGAGCAGTGTGTAGGAGCAAGAAAGGCCTCAGAACTGCTTTTGGCAGTACCTCTTGTGTCCAGCCTCAAGTGTTCTCAAGCCCTGCATGATGCTCCGTAAGGAGACCAAACCAGTGCTAATCATCTGGGTGGAGAGCATCAAGATGGGAGGACTCAATATTTGTAGCTCAGTTCTCAGCATGGCTGTTCCCTTGTAATGGCAAAATTGCCTTAGACGCTTTTGAGAATCCCACCGGTTCTGCACAGCGTTAAGGTGGTACCAGCACTTAGTGATTTAGTGGAGCTGGAAGGAAAATGTGCAATGGGAATCACTCCCATCATTCATTCCCCCACGGGAGAACCACTGCTGTGACACTGCAGCTTCCTACCTGCTTTCAGCCAGCCTTCTGCACCATTTGCTGTTCTTCCAATACATGCCGTGCCTTTCTGCTTTCTTTAAAGAGTAGAAGTGGTCTGAGTTGAGGCACATGAATGGTTAGTGATATGTGAAGCATTTAAAGATTTGGTGATTGCAGTTTATTAAATGCAGTCATTCACCACCTATGTGTGCTGAGAGCACTAGTTTCTGATCTTGTAAGAGATACTACAACAATTTGTGCATGAGCTGTGGGGTTTTTCTACTTACATGAAGACTGTAAATTTTGCTTGTACTAGGGTATTTGCTCATATCCGCAAATCTTGAGATGGCTTGTGCAGTCCTTCCAGCCCTGGATTCTGCAACCCAACGTCAGAGGAATGTACCAGAAGCTCAGCTTTCATTTAGGAAGTAGATTTCTTACTGTTATTCTTCTCAACTGAGCCTGTAAAAGTACAGAAAATGAGCAAAAAGAATCCCTAGAGCAGGCTTGTTTAAAATAAATAAAGCTTTTAGGTTCTGGTCATCCTTATGATTTGGGAGGGAAGAGGCTTACAGATTCTTGTAAACTCCAGAGTCTGAGGTTCTTATGAACTCCAGACTTTGACAGCAATGCATATGGAAAATCTTCAGGTTTTTAGAAGTTCTTTTGAAAAAATATTTGTGTTCCAATAGAGAAACACTGAATAATTTGTGAGTGCATTACGATGTTGTGCACCCCACTAAAATTAGTATTGTCAATTGATTCCTTTACTAGACTTACGGTTGCCGTTTTCCATCAGAGCTGAAAGGAAACTTCTACAGAAGTTTCAGTTTCCGAGCCCTCTGATGATTACTATGCAGCCAACTGTTTTAACTGAGTAATGCTTTTTTTCTTGGTTTTCTTTTTTTCTTTCTTTCTTTCTTCTGCCTTAAAGAGATTTCTCGCATCTAAAAAGAGGGAACTAAAACTTGTGAGTCAGAGTAACTAAGAATGTTAGGGATACGTGCTTGTGCTGATGACGTTTAGAAGATACGCATTTGTCAGAGCGTGTTTATTATTATGCAAAATAGTTCATGAAAGTCATAGCTTCAGGCATGGAACAAATCCACAAACAGACCAAGTTTTACATTTAAACTATTGATTTAGGCAGACATAAGTCATTTCTTGAGAAATGTGGTGCTTGAGGCTCATCAGTCGCTTTGGAGATCTGATTACAGTTCAGGTTGAAAAATTTGGTTGCTGCAAAAGCATGTTCAGAGCTTTCTGGGATGGTTAGAATGGAAGGTCTGATTTCAGGCAGTTTGGGTATGATTTCAGACCTCTTTGGGTCTTTTCTGTCTTCAAAGACCAAAACACTGTTTCTTTAGAGACATAAATTTGTAACTGTATGTATTTTGATTCTTTAGGAAGTAATAGAAGCTATTGCTGAATGTGCGTTTAAGACATCGCCCTTTCCAATCCTTCTTTCCTTTGAAAATCATGTGGATTCGTAAGTAATTACCATGTTTTCCTGTATGGTGTTAATATTTTTTGTAAGGTCTGAGCACAGAATTATGTATGCACTTGTGGCAGTTTTTTTATATGAAATGATCAACAGCTCTTACCCCCCAAAAAATTCTATCAGCCTAAGTAACCAAGATGATCAGAATGAATCAGGCATGTTCTTAAAAGCCTTCCTGAATTAGACTTTTTTGTATGAAAGTAAAAGTTTGAATAATCGTGAGACAAATTGTGTTAACTTACAGTCTCAGTTTGTCCCACTGGAATGTAGCAGTACTTCATCAAAGAAAAAGAAGCAATATCTCACCTAGTTATGACCCTCTTCTGTGCTATAAGCATATTCTGTGCACAGAATTTGGTCTATTTCTCATGTGTTAGAAGTAGAGGCCAGGCTAGCTAGGATTGCGAAACAGGTGGTATGGATGGCCAGGAACTGTTCAGTTGCTGTCAAAAAATACTACTTTGCCTAAGCAGGTTTTTTTTAATTACAAAGAAAGGACAATTTTTCTGTGTAAGAAAAGAAAAAATAAGTGAGAATACTTCTAAATTTGTCCCAGTGATCTATTTTATTATCTCTGTTATTGTTGGTTTAGTTCTGATTTTTCTTTTGACATTAACTTTAGTTTTGAGTGTAGAGACCACTTGGTTCAAAGTGGGGTGACGTTGACACATAACATATGACTTAGCTTCAGTTGCCTTCTCCTCTTGTTTTATGCTGTGAAAGCATTTTCAACACTCCCGGGGCCGGTTTCAACTTACAAACTTTTTTTTTTAATGTGAAATAAAAAGTAATCTTTGGGACAGCTATGACTGATTTAATACAAACCAGTAAAGATGTTGGCACTTTCTCTTCTTGAAGAAGGGCCGGTTTCGACTTAGAAACTTTTTTTTTTTAATGTGAAATAAAAAGTAATCTTTGGGACAGCTATGACTGATTTAATACAAACCAGTAAAGATGTTGGCACTTTCTCTTCTTGAAGAGGAAAAGGGTGAGGGCTAACTGCTTTTCCGTTGTTTAGGAGGAACATTCTCATCATAAGCAAAGGAACTGGTAGAAGAAGCTATGTAAAAATGTTTTTAAGAACAGATTTGATAATACTGATCAAAAGTGATGTAGGTAGAAAAATTTAAAATCTGAGAGCTGACCTGCACTACCTGTATACCTTACAGTTTAAGTTTACACTACCTTTTGTGGGCAAATAGGTACTCGCTCTGTGCGTATTTAAAGGCCACATGGTTATGATTCAAACAGCTACCTGTTAAATCCTGTTTAGTTAGTTCTGTCTTCCTCTGAAAGACCACCCAGATACTCTATTTCATTTCTTTCTCTAATCAGTTCCCTCACCCCTTTCTTTTTGGTGTAAGTTATATCGCTTTGGACTTGCTTATGCTCACCTACTGCTGTAGGTTTTGACTCACAATGCTTTCCTCTGTGCTCCCAAATGCAAACTCTGGTCTTTAGAAAAGATCTTAACCATCATTCTTCCGTATATTATATTTTGGATTCATTCTTCTATATTTATTAAAATATACATTTGCTGTGTTAATATAAGGAAGAGGAAAAGCAATGTCCAATTTATTTTAACCAGAAGGCTTACATTTTTCTTACTTTGAAGTCATTAAGACTTAAATCTTCAACTATTGCAGAGTGATCTGTTCTATTTTAGGACAGTAAAGAAGTAAATAATTGTGTAGTATAAGCTCCTGTCAGATGTAATTTATGTACAAAAGCAGCTTTAAAACTAGTAAGATGAAACATTGTCAAAAGTAAAGATGGTATGATACTGTAGGAACACGTCAAAAAGGGAGCAGAGTTACTGCTGCATTACTCCAATCTTTAGAATTTACCCCACAGAAACCATTGGACCTTTCTCTTCAGAAAACTCCAGTCATGGAATAAAGAATTATCCCAGTGTGTATTATTTGATGCCCTTTTCCATGCATCGCTATGACACCAGTTTTGAGCAAAGCAAGTCTGCAAAAACAGTATCAAGTATTTTCTCTTTCTGAGGCCTTACTGCTATTTCTTATTTTTTGCTGCAGTAAATCATCAGATTTAATGTGTATGATTTCTAATTTTGCTTTGGCTGAAAATAATTTCTAGTTATTTTACCAACTGCTACAATTATGTCTTCATTTCTTCACTAGTTGCTAGAGAAATTTGCAATTAGTCATGCCACTCACAGAAACCTTCACCTGATTTCATGGAATGCTCCTTTTGTCTTTTCATTTACTTGGAATGTTGTGTTTCTTCTAGATCTTAAAAGATGGGCTTTGCCCTGAGTATTAACAGAAAATGCTAAGTGTTTTTACAGAATTGCTGTTAAACAAATCCTATGACATCAGTTCCTACTTTTGGGTGACCAAATTTTTCTTCTAATTTTCAAGTTGCAAGAGGCAGTATTCATGTACGAACTGCTGGTCCCATACAAATCAGTGGAAATTTTGGCATTGCCTTAAACAGAAATATGGGTTTAGCCTGTGTTTTGGGCTTTTAAACAGACTACAATTATCAAAGGTAAATAAGTTTTACATCACCACTATAGGTGTGACAGTGTTAATCACCATTGGACTTAAAATGCATTTTTTTTCTTCTTTCTGGTTTATGTTCATGAGAATATTTTTAACACTTTTTATCCACCTAGGGAACAAATCACTTGTTAGCACATAGTGTTAATCATCTCATCTTGCTTTCCTTCAATGTTTTTCCTAGAAGGACTCTTCTTTAATATCTTTATAGCATGTGAAGAATTTTCATTTCCTTTACTGTAACTCCACTATGTAGTATATTTCTTCTTGATTGTTTTTATATAATAAAAAGTTTAGAAAAAGAGGCGAGCATATAGGTTTTAGAATATATAAAGTATTATGTATACCATCATTTGTATTGGAGTCCAAACATGCACACTGAAAAAAGGCAGTACTAAGGAAAGATGTGGTTCGGTCAAAAAATAGAAAAGTGCCCTGAAAATGTTGAAAAGACCTCAAGAAGACCTTGATGTTTGAAATTGGGCTTGCAAGAAGATAAGCAATCTGCAAATCTGAAAGCAGACACTCTATAATTAGAAATGCACTGATGACATAGCAAAAAGGTTAAGTGATCCTTGAGAGGTATCCATATAAGATTGCTTCCAAGATTAAATTTAATTCCAGTTATTCATATCGCTGCTTTCTTACTGGAGTTATCTCAAATATTAACAGGATTTTTACCACTTTTTCTTCCTGCACTTTAAATAATTTTAGACTCTTCTGGGAAGCATCTGTGTCTTTGTCTTATGCACAAGAAGGATCTCTGCAGAAGTGATACTAATATAACGTTAGGAGCAGTGGTAGTGGAGTTGTGCCAAATAGCCTCTATGATTGACCTTCATAATAGGCATAATACAAACACATTAAAACAAAGTACAAGCAATGCAGTAATAGTAGTGAAAACATTTCTTAATATTCTTTATATTTCCATATCTCCAGGTGTCATGTTCCCATTTTATCTTCCCTTGGTCTGGCACATTTTGGGGGCATATATAATTAGTCTGCGTGCTACCCATCCATTTCTGCACAGTGAAAATCATAAAGCAGATAAAGTCAGCTCTTTTCAGGCAATCATTTTTCATTACAATACATGAATGCTGAGACAATTCCCTATAACAGTAGATGTGGACCAGCAAATATCTGCTTTTTTGTTTTATAACACAAATGGGGAAATATGTTGATGTCAAAAAGTTGGTATTTCAATCTGTTGCTCTGGTTCATAATACTGAAAGAAGCAAAAATAAAAAGAAACTGATATTCCAAACTTTAAAATACTATAATAGTAATACAGAATCTATACTATGACTAATGATCTGTCTCTTCAAACAATATATGTATATTAGAGAGAGAGAGAACACAAAGACCCTATCACTCAGTTAAACGCTGGTAGTATTTTTTTATTCCTTCTTAGGAGCTTTTAAAATATCTATGCATATAATTCCATTCACAAAGGCAATTTTGTAATGTCAAGATTTTCTTACTTTGGCCTTGTCTACTACTGCAAGGTTTTTTTATAGTATTAAAACCAGTTAGTTTTTCACATAATTTTCCTTTTCCTTCTTTCTGCCTCTGGGATGCAGTGACATTGGAAAATATACACTAAACCAAAATAATGTAGCATTACATTTTTCTATTTTGCAGAAATGAAAGTTCTCACTGTGCTCTCTTTGAGGTAAACATGTAATTAAACACAGAAGATCAGAAGAATTTGTTCTAGCTGTGGTGATGGTTTGAAATTTATTAGATTTAACTCTTGCATATTTTTTTCGGATTCCTATCGAGAGTTCTCTTCAGAGTTGATGTGCCCGTTTAAAAATGCTGATGTCGCATCTAATTACTACGATTTCAATAACTGTGCTCTTTTGACTCAGGGAGATGTTCTTTGAACTTTCTGGGTTCTAAGAACATGGATCTCTTCAAAATATACATGGTTGGAAAAGACTGAAATAAAATCCACTGTAATGACCCCTAGACCTGTAGCAAATACCCAGTCTGCTTGCTTACTAGAGTGAGCTGCCTTTATTTTCCTTGATAGCTGGCTGTTAGAAATAGCTAATGCAGTCTTGTAGCATGATCTGTTCTTCCCATCACCTTCTCCCTTGTGGGTGCTTAGTTCCACTGCCTTGCTTGTCTTCATCTTAATTTTCCATCCTCAGCTAAAAGTGGCTTTTAGCTTTTCTGCAGTATCGGCTGCACGCAAAAGAAAGCTTTAATGAAATGCTGTAGTGATTTAAACTGCATGCAGCACTTGCGTAGCTTTGTGGAATTATTTAAAGCCTCCTCGCGATATATTTTGTCAGTGACTGAGCTGATGACCGATTCACCTCGTATCTGCTTCAGGGGACATCCAGAATGCTGATCTCAGGGAAATTACATTTGCTGATTCAAATGCCACCCAGCCTTTATCTCAGCCCTGGCTGGGCCTTGCTGACCCCAGGGAGCACTGCAGTGCCAGGTGCCCGGTTAGGAGCTAACGGCAATCTGGACACAGCAGTTGCTGTACTCTTAGTCTACAAGAGAGAAATGAGCACTCCTTTTTTTTCCTATGTACCCAGCTCTATTTTCTCATGAAAAATAGCTCCATGGTAACATAGCTGCTTATATTATTCGTATGTCTTCCATGATATGCTGATCATAATTAACGGTAGTTGAGGAGGTTATATTAAGCAATATGAACCTGTCCTTTAGTCCAGAGTTCTCAACAATATCAAAAAAAGAAACTTTTACAGATACCTAAGCTCAGATGTTACAGATTTTAAACAGGCACATAGAACAAAAATACACAGTCTAAAATTAGAAAGAGAGTGACTGTCACACTGAGCTGCACTTTAAGATAATTTGAGTAATGTTTCTGAGTGGTATAACCTATCTTCAGTCCTAAAACTCCCATCACTGATATGCAGGAATTATTTCATTCTTTGGTTGCACTTTGGGAAAATTGATTATAAGTACAGTTTACTGAAGTTCAGTTTACTTCCAGAGGATGTCATGAAAACCACTGAACTAATTTACTGTGGTAAAATTTGACACCCTGTCTGATTTTAAATAAGATTTTAAAATATTAAAAAAAGGAATCTGACCATGTAACCAAACATTGAGCAGCTTCACCTAGCAGCTTGTTGTTACATCCAGATCCCCACTAGGAAGACTGTCCTGATATGTTGGTCCCAGTTATATACGCATATCATGCATGCGGGATGTGATTATATGCATATAAAATATAGTTATACCAGCACTTATTGCAGCAGTTCTCCAAATTGACAAAACATCTTAGCAGTAGCACAATTACATCTATGCTATGACTCCTGCCAGTGAGGGTATGTCAGGGGAAATGCTTCAGAGCGAGCTGGCGAGAGCAGCACAAGCTTTTGGTGCGACCCCAGCCCAGGGGGTGCGCGGGGGGGAGCGGGTGCTTTGTTGTGGAGCGCAGTGCTGGGGTGCAGCTGCAGCTCCGGGCAAGGCTGTGGCTGGACGGGCTGTCACGCTGCAGGGGCACAGCGCCCACTCCACGCGGGCTAACGAATAGGGTGGGGAAAGTAGGCTGCATTTTAGCAGAAAATCTGCAGAAAAACTACCTGCATTTTAGAAATCTGCAGTAAAACTAGCTACTTCTCTACCAGTGCCTATAACTGATGCAGCTTTGCTGGTTTTGAGACCCAGGTGATATCTTCTGCCCCTTCTTCTGTATGGCGATGCCTTACGGGTGTGCTGAGTGAGGTGATAGGTACTCTTGGCTTGGGAAATTTAGCAGACAACCCTGCACAGGAGACTGTTTTCTGTGTAACTGTTTTGGGGGTTTATGCCTTAGGTCAGGTAAGACAAAAAGAGAATGAAATCCAAATGGGATTGGGGGGTGTGTGCGTGAGAAGAATGCCAGGCATGTGTATAAAGTAACATAAGGTGGAAAATATTTAAGCTTTGAATAAAAATGTTGCCTGAAAGAGTCAAATTCATGTAACAGTTATTTCTCTAAGGGTAACAACTGACAGTGTCATTTTTTTAATTTTCTACCAAATGCATAGGAAAATACACTTCAATGTTAAAAGTTCAGTTTCACTGTTACTCAATTGCCTAGTGCCTTTACTTCATGTATGATCCTTTTGATAAGCTCTGTGAGAGGAATCATAATATATATAGGTCTCTCTGAAAAGCTCATAGCAATTGGATCAGGAAATTATATCTAGTTTAAGGACGTTAGATATTCCATTACTTCTCCTTTCACTCTGTATCATTAGACTCCTTTCTTTCTTTCTTTTCTCCCCTTTAGCCCTAAACAACAGGCGAAAATGGCAGAGTACTGCAGATTAATATTTGGAGATGCATTGCTTATGGATCCCTTGGAAAAATACCCGGTAATATGGTTTGGTATTTATCAGATCACAAATATCTATGTGAATTTTTATTGAAGTGTTTCAGTCCTGTGTCATTCTTCATGTACAACCTTTCAAAACAAAGTCTAAAGGAGGGGATTAAACAATGTGAGCTGTTGGTGACTTAAGCATATGATTTCTGATGCAGGGGTTGTTCTGATACAGGGAACTGTAATCTTCTAAATGCAATTGATTCTTGTAGCTGCCATTTTATAATGTAGGCTTTCATATTTGACCTAATACTTATTTCGGTTATTACTGTAGACATTTCTTAAAGCATTTTTCTTTCCTTAAGTGCCCTCAGTAGCACTGTTTCATTTAATGTTGAGGTTACCTCTGTGAAAAATACATTTCATTTTAACAGGGCTTATAGAGGTTACAAAATTATCTTGGACCGTGGGGGCCCTAAGAAATTGCCATAAGCTTGTTTCTTTTGTTGTAAAAAATGTCCCTTCCTTTTTCTGCAAGCTTGAACCTGGAGTTCCTCTTCCAAGCCCTACGGATTTAATGTACAAAATTCTGGTGAAGAATAAAAAGAAGTCACATAAGTCTGCAGATGGAAGTGCAAAAAAGAAGCTCTCGGAGCAAGCTTCCAACACATGCAGTGATACGTCTAGTATGTTTGAACCTTCCTCCCCTGGAGCAGGTATGAATTGAATCTACAAATATATTTGTCCCTAAAACACAAATGCTTAACTACAGCTATAATTCAGTCCATTTACATTGCTCTAGCAAAGTAAAGCTACACCAGTGTGGGCTTTACTCTGTAGGAAACAATGCTAAGTGTCATTGATCCAGGAGTCTGTCAAGGTTTGTGGCTAAGGGATCGCTTATGGAGTCACCTAAAGCTCAATGATATGTACTTACATTTATCTGCACTGCTTAGGAAGCAGAGCAAACTGCCAACTCCTCTACCCTTGCGTGCCTCTTCTATGTGCCCAAGCCCAATAACAAATTAAAATACTTATTTTTTCTGTTGCCACTGAGATTGCACCTACCATTTAGTGCTCTTTCAGACTTAACCCGTTGCACAGGAGAACTGCAGTGTCTTAGGCTTTAGGGTAACTGCAAATGAGGTATCTGTTCCTCAGGCAGGCAAGGCTCAACCTGCTGTTGTCTTAAATTAGTTGGGAACGCAGCACAGACCTCTATGCAAAGTGCTATAAGATGATGTTCCCTTCCAGAGATGGAAACAGGCAAAAACAATACTGCAAACAAATATTTGTTGCCATCAGGAATTTTAGGGAATGTAGCCAACGGAAAGCAGTGTATTACATTTAACTTGTTCATTATTAGCAGAATTTTTAAAATTGGAAATTAAATAGAAAAGTTACTGTAATTTAGTACATATATTCTGGTAATGCCTGTGGGATCTGCAGGGGACCATTGTGAGTGTTGGTATGCAAAAATTAGTAAGAGAGAGTTTTTGTCCTGAAGAACTTAAAACCTAACTAGAAAAGACAAAGAATTGCAGAGAAAAAGGTAATGTAAGGATTTCCTCTAAACCACAGGAGCAGATTAGCAGCAGGACAAACAACAATATATGTGTATCCTGATTCCCAGCCCAGTGTCTGTTCCCTGCACTACAATTTCTTCTTCTCATTAAGACTGAAATTTTGAATTGCTAAGAGTGTAAACATTTACGCCCCAGTAGTAGAATACTTACAGAGCAAATTGAGAGCTCTACTGGAATATAAGTTCATTACCATTTGCCATTAAAAAAACTTTTTTCCATTGTTTGTAATTTTTTCTAAACTCTGATTAATTGAGCTGAAAATTTTCGTGTTGACAGTTTGCCTCAAGCTGAATTAAAATAAGTCCTGCTGTATTTGTGGATAACATTGTTTATCCTATTAGAAGCAAAGAAGGAGTTTTCAACTATTGTGTTAAGAAACTTTGAAAAGGACATGCTTTGGAGTAGGGCTTGGATTTCAAAGGAAGATTCATGCTGGTGTCAGGAATGATTTAATACCATTTTCTTGGTTTGCTTCAGACAAATCCCAAGCGACAGAAACGTAAGTGTGTATATGCCAACTGACTCCTTTCCAACAGTTGCAATCAACCCTGGGTTCCTAAGTCTACATTTTTGTTACCAGCACAGAGTGAGAGCCCAGTGGCAAAGTGTATGTCTTTTGCTATATGATTTCTTCCAAGTGCCTGATCTGCGTAGAGGGTAATAGCTTTGTCTTTCAGTAGCCTCTCTATGAGCTTTTATAGGGGAAGACCGGGGCTGTGAATCTAGATGTTGATGATGCAAGGCAGGAGGGTCAGTCGCATAATAGGGTGTGTAATTTTACAAAGTAACTGTGAATATTATGTCTGTATTACCTATATAACAACCTCTGTTACCTGTGGATTGTGAAGATGACCACTTACAAATTAGAAAAATGCTAGAACTGAGATTGCAAAATTGATGTGGTCACTTGCTTCATCTGTGACCGCCAAAATATACTGCTTGCAATCCTTTCGTCAGCCATTGTTCCTCCTTTAGGACCTATGCCTCTTTTGGAGAATGCAGTTAGTCAATATTTTTTGTCTCTCTGTCATTCAGTACTTGACCCTAGATGTAGCATCCTCATCTTGCAGTGAATTTCTGTGGGGATATCCACGCTGTATATGAGCGCTTGACAAACAGCAGTGAATTTGTCTGAAAATACCTGTGGGAAGTGAAATAGTATTAAGCCAATTTTATCTAAGGACAGCCGAGTCTGAGAGAGCTTAAGAACAGTTTAGGGGTGACTGATAAGGAACATCCAGGACCTGATTTTTCAAGAATACTTCAAATTTTTAAGTATTCAAAGCTCAACCCCAGAGATTTCAGCTACAGCTTAGAGCTGTGAGCATGCAGCGTTTCTGTCTGTGAACATTTAAAAAAAAAATTATTCACCATTCTATAATGGTGGCAAGACCCACTGAAGAGCATGATTCCATGGGCCAGTGCTCAACAATCACCAAGACACCCTTCTTTTCACTGCCTTGTTCCTTATATGCATCACAATATTGGCAACGTGTAATGCTGGAGCACTGCAAGCAGTACGCTCCTCTACACGCAGTGCCAGGTCCTTTCTGGAGCATGAGAAGCGCGATGAAATTAAAGACTCACGAAAGGAAGCCTAATTCTTAACATTTCTGAACATAAAGCATTCAATACTCCAACTTTAATATAATCTTTACATTTAGGAAGTTGTACATATTATTCAAATAACTCTATTGTATAGCTTCTGTCAGAATTACTGCAAAAAATACGGAGATTCGTACTTCAGTTGATAGCAAGCTTCACTATGTCTTACACTGCTTGAGGTGAGATTTAAACCCAAATAAACCACTCTTTTGATATGTTTATAAAACGTACCATATAAATGTTAGGTGGTGGTGATATAGTAGCAATAATTAAAAAACAATTCTGAAATGAGCTTTGCGGAATGGCTTGCAAGATATTCATGAAATTGATGTAAAAAGTAACTTCAGTAGGGTATAATATGTGTCAGTGGAAAAAGCTTTTCCTGAAGGTACAGCAAAGATGGCAAAGCAGAAAAATAATTTCTGTGATAACACTTGTGAGATAGATAATAATTTTGGTAAACAGGCACCTTAAACCTGGCTGGTTTAGCACAATGATCAGAAGTAAATAAGCAAGATTTTCAAAGAAGTTGGATTACACTGCAGAAAGAACAGTGGCAGTTCTTCAGGTACGTACATTTTACCAAAAGTAGGCCTATACTGAAAGTAACCCAAACTTGTTAATTGAGCAGTATTTAAATTTTTGAGCAAATTCTTAATTTCTCACTGATAGGATGACATTTTTGTCAGAGTAGTGGGTACTGCAAGGAAAAAGTCACAAGAAGACAGAGAGAGAGGATAGAATTGGCTCCATCATTTCATGGTGACTAAATAGAAAACTAGATAAAAAGTTTTAGGCTCAGTGTATGTAAATGCATTGCTACATTGGTGCTGCATGCCAGCTGATGCCATGGCCCACTGTTACAAAGTAAAATGTTTTAGCAAACTGAATAAAGTTAATTTTTTCCTTTTTAAAAATCAGCAAGTGCTGGTGTACAGCCTGTGGAAAAAAAACAAAAGGTGATTTTTGTCCCCCCCAGGATGATGGTGGCTGCCTAAACGTTATAGAGCTGACAAGCGGTACCAGCAAGTACCACATTTATAATCCATTCTGGCTGTTATTTGAAAGGGGTCTGAGAAAGCAGATTACCAAGTTCCTCTGAATTTCAAGCAATGTGTAACCTTTCGTTTTATTAGGCTCTCAATATCTGTCAAGCTGCTGACGCATGGTGAGAACGGATAATATTTAGCACTCTGCTTCCTCAGCCCTTGGTTATAGGGATTTGGTTTGTCATTCCCAGCTCTTCTCTCCTAATCATCTTCCATTCAGTATTGCTGTGTTGAATCCTTCTACCCATCAGTTAGGATTCAGCCTCCTTTGTCCACTTGTCACATTGCCCAATATGCGCTTCTATGCCTTCCCAGTGCTGCCCCACTCACTGGGGGCAGCTCCTTGAAAACATCCTTGAAACTGCCCGATTACTCCACTGAGAAGTTTCCTCTGCCCTTCTGCCTACGAGCGGTTGACAGTATCTGCATTATAACTTCCCTATTGTGGTAGGGAGCAGCCTCTTTTTATTTCTTGATATTCTGTCTGCCTCTGTCCATGGGCAGGCTCTTGTCTCGTACTTGGAGGGCAAGCCCTTGGAGCAGGGCTCTCTATTTTCACTATATTTATATGACCCATAGCACAGAGAGGTCCTGTCTCGACCTGGGTTTGTAGTCCCATCTGAATGCAAATAATAATTATACCATTACAGCTAGTTGTCCCTTAAACAAGCTCACACGTACATACTGGACTTGACCTGCCGCACAGCTGCATATGCCAGCCCATGTGCATTTATGCTGCACATGGTCTGTGCCCTCCTGGGAAGGGATGGGAGCGATGGCATGGAGCTGATCCCACCACCCCTGTGGGAGGCTGAGCGTGAAGGCATCCGCAGCACGGACGTCTCCTCGGGCTGGCCAAGGCTTGCTCTGACTTTGTGTCCTGGCAGTGCAACAGGAAAAGAGGGCAGGGTTTGAGCATAGGACAGTGCTGCTGGGTGAAAGGCAATGCAGATGTGGTCATACTTTCTAAAACAAAAATTTTTATTCTTTTCCTGTGTATTATTTGTCCTGGTTTTGCTGTCTGATGCAGAACTTGAAAATGAGATCTGATCTCCTTGGGAGTTTTCCTGTTAAATATTTTTAAATAAATGAATAATGTGTTGCATACTTTCCTCCCTGGACACTTCCAGCAAGAACAAGTGATCATCTACCTGGTATCTCAGCAGTGCAAGTTGGCTGAAATCTGCCCGTGTCTCCCATTTTGTGGACTGTGCAAAGTGTTATTTTGCCAGTCTGGTTAAATCAGTCAAGAGCTTCCCATCCAAAGATTGTCACTGCAAATCCTGCGAGGGCTCGGCTGGCTCTTTGCAATGCATTGAGGTTCCCTGAGCCATCCCTTGAGCCTGTTGAGCAATCATGTTCTTTTCTTCAATGAAATGTTCAGGAAGAAATGTGTTCGTGAATAAAAGCCTGACATTTCAACATCTGCATCTGGAAGGAAACACAGCCTGGGTAGTCATCATTTGGTTGTGAAAGGGACGCTCATTATTTAAATCATGTGTGCTTGCCATGTTCGGAAGGGGCCCACTGGGCATGATTCAAGGCCTGCTGGAACAGAGGAGTTGTATTGACTCAGTGGGCTTTGGATTAGACCCTGATTTAACAGGACGAACTGAGACTGAATTACCATTCTCTGGAGAGTTTGGGAATGCTGCACAGTGGTTGGATTTTTGTGCTGCCAAAATAAAATTGCCACTGCTGAAGAAAGCTGAAAGGTTTGTGGAATAAAATCTTTAGGGAGGGTTGTCAGTCTTACAGGTGTGCCTAGGTGACTGCAGCGTAACTTAAACCTTTTTTTCCCAGAGTTGTCTTAAGATGCAGAGTATGTATTTCATGACAGCCAGACCCACAGGAGGAGTTACTACAGAGAAAGATAAGCTTGATATTCCTTAATGGTTTAATTTCTGGTGCAACCAAATCAAAACATTTTGGAGGCGAGGGGAGGCATTCGTTATTAACAATAAATCGTCTTGCCCATAGGAATTTGTTGACTACACCGCAATTGGGAGCAAGGCATAAAATGTGTTTTATTTGGTCCTATTTACTCCATCAGTACATTTGCAGGGAAAGGATGAGCCTTATGCATCTTCTTCACATTATTTGATTTTTCACTGCCCTCAGCCGGTGCATTTGAGCTATGCTACCGCAGTCCTAACAGTAAGGCACACCAGAGCAGCCTGCGAAGGGAGTCGAAGTCAAGCTATTGCAGTTAGGCTCCTGTGCCAGATCCTCCCAGCTGTGCCACCTCAGTACATGTACGTGTACCGCGCTATGTTCAGAACAGACAGGTTTTGCTGAACAGCCTTTGAATACCACAGGACGTGAGAATCTCATCAAGTTTCATACATGATTTCTTCACCCCCTGCATGCTGTTACATGTGTGTTTCCCGGAGGGGGTGAGGCATTCACTGAAGGTCCTGCAGGGATCCTGCAACAGAGGGGGAGTTTGAACTCGCATCTCCCAAACCCCGGGGCTGTACACCAAGCATGGGAACATCTCTCAGAGTGGTTTGTGACATTGTACCCACACACTGTGCATACTATGCACACCCCAACCGCCTTCTCTCAGTGCTGGTACCTACCCCATGATTTCCAGACACTGAGCATCCAGCAGCTGCAAAGGAAGAGTTTTTGTTTGGTTGGACAATAAGAACTTCTGAATGCTGAACACGGATGAATCCCTCGAGACAGTGTATTTGATTTGTGCTGTGACAAAAAGCACATGTATAATGTAGTCTCCTTTAAGCAGTGCGACTTGCACATCTTTCTTGAATTTATCGCTGGTAATTATAACTATTGCTTCAGCCAGTAATTATCTTCTGCTTAAAACTTTTCAGGAGAAGCAGAGATTGAGAGCGATGATGATGATGACTATGATGATGACTGTAAAAAGTCGTCGATGGATGAAGTAAGGGTGTAGATATGTTTTATGGTGATGGGTCGGGTCCAGCAGTTGCGGGTTGGCTTGTGTTAGCAGGACTGGGACTACCATCTAGTGGAGAAACGGAGGCAGAGCTCTGGGAAAGACCACCAGCTTTCTGAACTTGGCCGTTAATCGGTTTGGAAGCATGTCTTTGCTTTGTTTGTTTAAATTTTCGTTTACTGAAGAATAAGAATTAATAGCACCATAGCTGATTTGTTTTAGACAGCTGCTTGTGGTGTATTTAGCGTTGTTGGAAGGAAAACCTGACATAAAAAATCTTAGAGCTATATTTATTATTTATCCAACGGTACGGATAAATGTGCTCATCACTGTGCATGTGTAAATGTAATACAGTCTGTTCCCTAGGAGCCATGTAAAAAGAATGAATGCAGCAGCAGTTTAATTAAACATTTACGTTTTATAGCAAGTTTTCTTGTTCACTATGTGAAGCTCCCTATGTGAGGCATTGACTTCACTAAGCCAGGATCAAGGGAAGATACCACGGTTGACAGAAAACTGGGCTTTGGTATTTGTGGCGTCTGATGGCCACTATGGACAGATCAAAACTGCAGCGTTTTCCCTTCTCTGTCCTAGGGTACTGCTGGAAGTGAGGCTATGGCCACGGAAGAGATGTCTAACCTGGTGAACTACATTCAACCTGTGAAGTTTGAGTCATTTGAAGTATCGAAAAGTAAGTAAGCTAAGCATGAGCAACATCTTATACTGGAAATTACCTAGCAAGTGTTTGGAAAAAAATTCTGGAGAAATGCTACTTGGCTTCCTCTCAGTTAGATACAGGCACAGGGACAGAAGATGTTTCCTTGATATCCAGCCAAATAAATCCATATTTATTTTGAAACCTGTATTAGTCTAAATGTCAAACTTCATCAACAGTAAACATGCTGCCATTTCAAAAACATTTTTGAAAATGTTGTAGTTAAGTTGTCTTTGTTGTCCTTGACTGAGGAGTAGCTTAAGCAGTTTGAGAAAGGTGGTCATAAATATTCCTATGGATTTAACTAGTGCTTTGTATCTTGCCTCTGCTACTTTTATAGAGGATTCAGGGTAAGCAGAGCCTGCCCTTCCCCATATACAAATTCACTTTTCCCTGCCTCTATGTATTGTATAGAAAAGGCCGTAATTTCATCCCCCGCTGGCTTTTACTGAAGATGCCTTGCTAGGAGTGCACTCAGTGGCATCCTCAGTAAACACTGCAGCAGCTTTGCCTTTCTTGGTGCAGAACCCCCTACTGTTTGCCTGCCCTTTTTCACTTTGTTTTGACAGGTTTTAGTATGCTCTTGGAGCTTTTTAGTTAAAGAAGTGTATAGCATTTTAATTTTTTGTGGATTTGCGGAGGCCTTGGCAGAGGACAGGTAATTGGTGCCTAAGTCCATATCTGTGTACAAGATTTTGCATTTACTCATGATGAATAATAAACGTATAAGAAATTACCTACCTGTTCATTTGTTTGTGGATATTTATACAGATATACACACAAGCATTCACAAAATCATGCAGAGAACTATGCTTGTTCCCTGTAGTAGGGTCCCTTTGGATGTTTATAATCTCCTCGAGCTGTAATGAGAGTTACAAGAACACAGTGGGAAGGAGATACTCCTTCTGGAAAGGAAGCCATGTGAATCCTAGCAGGATAAGTTGATGCAGCTGTTATAAAATTGTCTTGTGTAGATTTCTTCTGTTCACATGCCTGTGCCTTCCCAAGTTCTGCCTTTTGTAAAGAACGGCTGATGGCCGGATTTTCTTATCCTTAGTCTTGGTGTGACCTTTGATCAATCATACTGTTTCTGTGAACTCGTAACGTTAAGGCATCAATATCTCTGTTGTTTGTGTCAAAAAAATTATGTGGTAAACGTGGCCAGTTGATTAAAGCAGTGACCTTACATGGTAAGTGTTGCTGGCTGGTTAAAGCAGTGGACACTATAGCATAACTTGTGGGTTCTGGTCTTGATCCTGGCCTCGTCTAGCTGCTGGACCTTCATTAAATTCAGCAAAGATGAGCTGAATAAAAAAGGAGTTGGATGAGGGTTGTTTTTTAATTTGCTGCCTAGCCAGTTGTTGCCCAGATTTTATTCTGACTTCGTTTCCCTAATTGTAGAGCTCCATACTTGTCCTTTATGCAGTTTCATCGTTCAATGTTACAGCATTTTTCTAATTTAATATTTTCTAATTCAGAACTTGTTCTAATTCATGATCCTGGCCTCCATGGTGATAACAATCCCCTGATTTCCCTCACTAGATATGTTCCCTGTCTCTGACAGCAAGTAGCTGTAACTATTTTTTTCAAGTTTTTCAGATGTTTTTTCAAAGAGTTGTTTGTCCACTCCATAGTGACTTCCTCCTGGTAAGATAGCACGGTGTGATGTATCATGAGAGAGGGATGTCTCTCCTGCACAGTCTTTTCTTAATCCTCTCCAGATACTACAGGGAAATAGTTGTTCTTTATTTTAATTAGGAGTTTGGTTAAGCCCTGGACATTTAGTAACCGAATCATTTAACAGCTACCAGTTCTGGTTTCCTACAGATGCTCTATTTTAAGGTAAGGCTGAGAGATACAGTATATTACTACAATAAATTCTAGCACCTATATTCTAAATAGAATAAAACCACTACAGATGTGTGTTGCTAGTACTGTCCATTAGTAAGGGGGAAGGATGGAATAAGAAGAATCTCAGTGCCTTTATAAGGAGCTGAAATGGAGCTAGGCTGGCTGGAACTGAGTCTGGGGAAAGAGAGGATATTGCTTGTTGGAAAGGAAGAGGAGTGGTAGGAGAGCAGCCTCTAGGGAATGACAGAAATCTTTTGCCATTAGGAGATAACAGCTATGAATAATAGCAGTAGCGTGATGGTTGCTAATTAGAAATAGGGACCACAATAAAGTCTGATTCCCAGCTCTCCTAGAGGGAGAGGATCACTTTGGAATGCCACAGTTGTCCTCTGACTCTTCAACGTACACTGAGAATAGTTTGTAGTTCACAGGCTGGCAGCACATTTTCCTCTCACGTTGGCCCAAACAATCTAGCTCCTCATTTCTTTGGATCCACTGCTTCCTTTTTGGCTTCCTATAAGGAAAGTGCCCACCTGTTTCTGTCCTGCTTCTCCCTGCAAGACAATTGCTTTTGTTCAGTTTTATCCCTCTCCTGCAGCTTCGCAGTTTGACTTCAAGGAGCTGGCCAGGCTGGCCTCCTGGCCATCCCTGGATCACTGCAGCACAATTACTTCTAAAACTGGATGAGGACGAGCCTTTTCTCTGCCTCATTGTTTGTTTTCAATAAAGTGATGAGGCGAGAGAGTTCATGTTTTAACACAGGCACCATTTCCCTCATTTTTAAGGAGAGCAGTGCTGAGATACCTAATGGATATGACATCCCAGCACTGTGGCCCCTTCAAGGCAATCTGCACAGCTGATTGTGATGAAATGGGAAGCTGTTATTTTACAGGAATCCTTACCTTCTGTACAAAAGTGTAAAGGAAAAAATACCCCTAGAAGGGTCTTGCCTTAGGCTCTGTGCTGCAGCATGTCACGTGGGTACAATGAAAGGCTGTGCACACATCAGGTAAAGGTGAGTAACAAATGATATACAAATTAATGTTTAGTCCTACTGAGTTACGAGCTTATTAGGAGCTTCCCACCACTGTCGGGTCAGAAAGTTTAACGAAATTAAATAGGTCATAGAAGCTCCATATTAGTTTGGGGTTAGGTCTGAAGACCTGCTGGGACACAGGAGTGTACTTTCAGGCTTGATTAGATAGCAGTGGTTCCATGACTGTTTGAGACAGATGTGACCTTACCCTGACATACTGAAGATAACGATAGCTGTAGGCACAGCTAGCACACCGCATAGTTTAATCTGATATGGACATTAGTTATTATAGCTTCAGATTGGCTCAAAGCCCTTGCATCTGTCTGCAAAGACAATCTAGAGATCCAGCGGGGCCCTCTCTGTTCCCCACAAAAGCTGTTACAATACTTCTGCATCACACCTGTGAGCTTTGGGCTCTACCAATCAAACCTGTCAACATGGTGTTTTGCAAGCCAACATGAGAGATATCTGCCCGTGCCCTGACTTTCTGTGGCCTGCAGCTGGTACGGCAGCAATCTCAGGCAGTACCAATGCCCTTAATTGAGGCAGTGCTAATGAGAGTTCAGATGGAGCTCTTGAGTATGTGCAGAGTGAGCTTACTGCTGTCAGTAAACAGTTGTGTATGTACGGTCTTTGAGATCCAGGTGAAATGAGATGGTGGCCAGTAGATGGGATAAGGGGATTGAGACTAAACCAATTGTTTGCAGCTCGTATCGCGAATGATTTCGTGCTCTAATGTGTCACTGTTTTTATTTCCCCTTTAAACTTTCAGAACGCAATAAAAGTTTTGAAATGTCTTCCTTTGTGGAAACCAAAGGGCTTGAGCAACTTACGAAGTCTCCTGTGGAATTTGTGGAGTATCCTTGACTTTCAGAACGCTGCTTTCTTAGCCTTTCTGTATCTGAGATCTGTTACAGGGCTTTATTGAAATTTGGAGACAGGAGCTGGGGAAATAGGGAACCCAAATGAAATTTGTAGATTTGACTGTCTTCTTAGATGAATTAATTGGCCTGAGTTCTGATGAGCTAATTTAAAAGCTGGCATAAGTCCCTGTGCTGTGGGCTAGGACTAGAGGGAATAGGCATAAACTACATATTGAAGACCTGATACTTTGTATTCTCATTGTTAAATTTATCATCCTATATGAGATGGTATGAGTGATGGTGAGCAAATTGTCAAAATGTGGCTGACTTGGTTTTTTGCAGTCATATTAGAAAGCTTGCTTTCCCATCATACCTTTAGTTCTAAGAGCACTGAGCTGTTTTATTGCTGTGCAATTCTTTTTTTCTTTTTCTTTTTTTTTTTTTTTAAATAACTTTTAAATAAAAGCTAAGGAGCATTCTGTTTAGACCTTTTGATGTTTCTCAGTATCTCTCATCATGGCTGCAGTTAAGAATGAATGGTCAAGATTAAATAGTGCCTCAAAGAAGATTAATGGAAAGCTACATCCACAGATAACCTGCAACATGTTCTCATCTCTGAGATTTGTAGACTGAACTGTAAGAAGTGCACACTCATCATTTCTGTCTGTATGTAGAGGCCAATTCTAATGCTCATTCCAGAAGAGCACTTTTTAAACTGAGAACCTCTCCTTACTCCAGAGGAAGATTCACTGTTTGCAGCTAATTGGCCTCTATAAATGCAATCTTAGGAAATTCCCAAATTAGTAACCGTAAAGATAAATGGAATTTTATGAATGCTATAATTTTTATGCATATGCCTGTGCTGCTTCCTTGCTTAGTCTGAGTACTCTGTACAGGAACAAACAGCATCTTTAATTACTCTGTATTTATCATATCTCCTACAAAACTGTGGATCTCTGGAACCGTTATGGTTGCGGAAATCCTATAAGGAATCCACTGCCATTCCGTAAAGAACACCTGCATTTAAATATTGCAGTTGTACCTCTCTACAAAGTGATTTTTGTCACGCGTACTATATCTTAACTACTCACTGTTTAGATACAACAAAATGCAGCTAAGCCGAATTTACCCAAAGGGAACACGTGTAGATTCTTCGAACTACATGCCACAAGTATTTTGGAACGCCGGCTGCCAAATGGTTGCTCTTAACTTCCAAACTGTAGGTAAGTTATGCTGGTCTCTGGGTTTTGTAAGCTGTACGTTTCCACTCCTCTGATAACAGTTTCTGATTCGTTGGTAGGAAAGGCTTTATGCATCAAAAGATGTCTAGTGATTGAATGATACTACAGAGCTGTTAATTATTTAACACAGGTTTGTTTGGGTTGTTTTAAATAGGAATGTTCCTAATTACCACGCTGTAGCTAGTATAATATGCATATGTGATGCCCTCCATATTGTCATCATTTGTAAGTGGTTACTGTTGGGCAGCATTTCAGATCTGGCAGGGGTTTTTTTCCTGTGTCTTCCAAAATCTCATTATATCAAGACATAAGGGACTTAGATAGCAAATTGCACTTTAAAAGTGAGTTTTTAAGAAATGAAGACATTTGGGCTCGTAGATGCACAAGTCACTTTTTAAATACAATGTGTTGTCTCCCAAGGCTATGTCTGTTCTGAGACATACAAATATTTCTATCTGCAGCTTCCGAGGATACATCCTGGCCATGTTCTGTTTCTGGGCACGTGGTACCATGGTATCCTTCCCTTTTTCCTTTCCAGTTGTGCCCATCTACACACCACCTTTCCATGGAAAGCAAAACCCCACACAGGCTGGGAGTCTGCAGAGCGATAAAAACCTCTTTGGGCGAGTTTTGACCAAGTATCAGGCACCCAGTGTCTGTTATTAGAAGGGGTTAGAAACAGAAGCACTCTGCTGGGTTGGGTACAGCAGTACAATTTGTACAACACTGAGGGACTCAAAACCCAAGTGTCAGGGCATCTTTTGAAATTGGAAAATGTTATCTATTGAGTAGTCTCTGAAAAATGTCTTACAGATGTCTTTTTCTTGTCAAAAGAATCCGATCACATCTGAAGCCTCTAAAGCAACAGTGTGCCATAAATGGCTGTTTACAGTCGGTTTGAAATGGCAATAATTGTTATTATTTTATTGCTTTTTAAAATTATTATCTATCCAGAACATAATTCTTATCAATATTTTTAACACCTAGATTTGTCTATGCAAATAAACATGGGAATGTACGAGTACAATGGCAAAAGTGGATACAGGTTGAAACCAGAATTCATGAGAAGACCAGACAAACACTTTGATCCATTTACTGAAAGTATAGTGGATGGAATAGTAGCTAACACCTTGTCTGTCAAGGTACGTACGCAGATGGTGAAAATGCTCTCATGAGCATAGTAAAATGTTCATTCTCAGAGCATAGATATATTTCTGTTGTGCAGTGGCCTAGCAAATTACTATACTAAGTCAAGAAAATGCAATGCATTTCATTTCACGGAGTGACATTTCATTTTTAAATTTTGCCTCATGTTTCATATTGCCAGATAAATAAATGTATTTTTATTGTACGTATTCTTTTCCATAGAAATAATTGGGAAGTGAATGGATTTAAGAGTAGTTTGGCTGTAGTTTTAGTAACAAATGGCTGAATTTAAAACGTGCTGTTATGAAGTGGTAGTTTGGACTGGAATAACTAGAACACTACACTGTTTAGCATAAATAAGTTTTCTGGTTCCCTTATAAGTTCTCCAGCAGAACTGTGGAACCATAAATGTCAGCTGCAATTCATTGCCAACTTGCTTTTCTTCGTTCATTTTTAAGGACCTCTAATGACGTTCAAGGACTGCCAGGAATCTACAAATTGAGAACTGCTCATATGAATGTTTAGAGGAATAAATTGCATTGGCAGTGACAGGATGACAAGTTTGTACTTGGTGTATCTTTAGTTACAAAACCATAAACTTTCTGGAATCCTGTTATTCCTTTAATGGACTTGTCCATTAGAACAGCATCTGTATTATAGAATCCACCTGCAAAATATTCTCCTGTTTTCATTGAGAGAAAACAAGTATTTCCTCTCAGGCTGCAGACACAAGCATAGCAGGAGCAGTGCTGGGAAGGATATGAATAAAGTAATAATCTGATGATATGCATGGTAAAAAAAAAAAAAGCTGACTTGGGAGTGACCTTTTGTGGTGACCAGTAATCATGAAAGCTTTCAGTTCCTCCTGTGGGTTTAGAAGCACTTTCTTCTGCAATTTTAGTAAATGGAGGTGGAAGTCATTCAATAGCAATTAGGAAATGCGTAGCATTTTTAACAGGGATGAGCATCCAGGAGTCATGAGAGCACTGTCAAGAGTCAGCTGCTTCAGCCTGCAATTTATTAAGGTACAGTGACACTGCTACATATTCCTGTGCCTCTTCAGTTTTCTGAAGTAATTGCAGACCTTTCTTTAACTTTTTTAAGCTGAGAGTTGTGTTTCCTGCAAAAAATAAGAACTAGAAAAGACCAGCTATTTTATAGGTGTTTTGTTTTCATAGTGAAACTCCTTACCCTCTGTTGAAGAGCCTTTATTAGAACACCAACTCTTTAGCTTGTTTTCTTCCTCACAGTTAAAAGCATATGTAGTTTCTCTGATGCTTACACCTCTTTTCTTCCAGCGTTTTTTGAACCTGTTGTTGAAACTGGGTAGAAATTAGAGTTCTCAAAGATACCGTGTTGTGGAAATAGGCAGCCAAATTGAGGAAGAGATCCAAACTAGTATTCCTGCT